CAGTGGTGAAGGAAGGAGGTGACTGTGGCTATGAAAGGATAGCATGTGGGATCTTTGTGATAGAACTCTTCTATGGGTTGTAGTGGGTTTTGTTGTTTTTGGGGTGCTGAGCCTTGAACCCAGAGCCTTGCTGAATTACATCCTCAAACCTTTTAAAAATTTTTTCTGAAACAAGGTTTCCCAAGTTGTCCATGCTACCCTTGAACTTGCTGTCCTCCTGCTTCAGACTTCCAAGTAGTTGGAATGACATTTATGTGTGACTAGACCTGGCTGGTTCTTGTGTGTGTTTTGTTTAAGTAGTGCGGCAATTGAGCACAGGACTTTCTGGCATGCTAGACAAGTATGCTGAGCTACATTACCAGCCCTCTGTTCTGAATCTTGACTATGGTGGTGATTACATGAATATGATTAAATTGTGTAAAACTGGTGAAAACTGAATAAAGCCAGTGGATTTTACTGTTAATTTTTTGTTGTGATATTGCATTATAGATATGGAAAACATTAACCATGGGTAAAACTGGTTAAGAGTACAGCATCTCTCTGTACTATTTCTTAAAACTGTATGTAAATTTACAGTTACCTCAAAAAATTTCCAGAAAAAGAACCCAGAAAATCTAAATTGTGTCCTAGTGAACATATTTAGGAGATCATGATCCAAATACCATAAGAAGGTTTGCTGCTATCTTAGAATGTTAGAATTGAGTCCCTATAAAAGGGCTGTTCCCAAGCATGATAGCACATGCCTGTAATCACGGCATTTAGGAGGCTGAGGTAGGAGGATTACTGCAAGTTCAAGGCCAGCCTGAACTATATAGTGAGACCTTGTCTCAAAAAACCAAAAAGAAAATTAAAAAAAAAACAAACCCAAAAGGGGTGAGGGGGCTCTAGCCAGGCATGGTAGCACATGCCTGTGATCCCAGCACTTCGGACGACAGAGGCAGGAGGATTGCAAGTTCAGGTACCACCTGGGGAACTTAGCTAGGCCCTATCTCAAAATTAAAAATGAAAAAAAAAAAAAGTACTGGGATGTAGCTTATTGGTAGAGTGCTCCTGGGTTCAATCCCTTCTACCACTACTACCAAAAACGAAGTTCTAAACTCAGACTATTAGGGCCATTATTTTGTACACACTTACTTTTTTTTTGGTTTTTTTCCAGTACCGGGAATTGAACTCATGACCTTGCGCTTGCCAGGCAGGCACTATGCCGCTGAGCTAAATCCCCAGCCCCCTAGGGCCATTATTTTGAACCAGTATCCTTTATTCACCTTTAACTAACACTGTAACATACCATACTGTGAGCTTGTATACCATATGTGAGTTTGTGCCTTTTTTTTTGGAGACAGGGTCTTATATCTCAGGCTGGCCTTGAACTTATGATCCTCCTGCCTCGGCCTCCCAAGGGCTGAGACGAGAGGCATGCACTGGGGGGAGGGTTTTTTGGGGGGGGTTGTTTGTTTGTTTTATTTGACACCAAATAGTAAGTAATTTGATAAACTACT